ATTTGGTGGTCAGAAAGTTCTGATCAAAGAGAATTTCAAAGAACCAATTAAAAATCTTTTAATATACCAAAGAGAGTTCTGGTTAATTCAGTCGAATCAAAGTTTTTTCAAAAATTTTTTAATTTTTTTCTAATAATCTAGATATAGCAAGTGTAAATAAAGATACTATAGATAAAGTTGGTAATTGATAATGCTATAGTAAATCTAGTAGATATAATGTTAATCTAGCAGATCTTGCAAGTGCTATGTGCCCCACACAACTATCATGACCAACCAATATCTAGAGTTACGCCTATAGAGTTAATTTCTATTCTAAAAAATTAATAATTTAGTAGTCAGAGTTTGGTCAAAAAGAATTTCAAAAAGAACTGTCTTGATCAAAGAGAGTTTTAAAAAATCAAAGTTCTTTTTGTATACATTAAAAAATAAAGTCTAAATAAAAAAAACAAAAAAGAGATATTGTTAATGTCTACCTTTTTTTATATACTTATTTTTCGCTTTTTAATATGTTATAGATTTTTTTGGATCCAGTATAATAGTTGCATCCTTGTATTACTAAGTGAACTTCTTGCTCAGCCATAATCAAGTATCTGAATAAACTTCTCTATAAATCTAGTATCAATCTAGCAGTAGATCTCGCAGGTGTTGTGATAGATCTAGTAGGTTGTTGTAGATCTAGTATGTGTTGTGATAGAGCTATGGTAGATCTATTAAGTAATCTAGATGTTGTAAAACTAGTTATAGCAGATTTCAAAGAACCAACCAAAGTATTATCCAGTTAAAGAGAGGTTTAATCAAGAAAATTTAAAAATCACCCAAAATTCTATTAGATTGGTCAAATCAAAGGTTTCAAAGAGCAAGTAAAGTGTGTTATGTGTTTCACATCTGTATACAACTGTCGTAACCAACCAATATCTATAGTCATGTTTATAGAATTAATTTCTATTCTAAAAAATTTATAATTTAGAGATCAGAGTTTGGTTAAAAAGAATTTCAAAAAACTAGTCAAAGATCTTCCCAGGTTAAAGAGAGTTAATCAAAGAGAATTTCAAAAGAATCAAAATTCTCTTTGTATTACACATCAAAGATCAAAAAAAACCAACCAAATTATTACCCAGTCAGAAAAAGTTTTGATCAAAATTGCCTAAAATTCTATTAGATCAGCCAAATCAAAGTTTTAAAAAGCAAATAAAGTGTGTTATGTGCCCATACCTATACACAATATTGTGATTAACCAATATCTATAGTCATGTTCATAGAATTAATTAATTTCTATTCTAAAAAATTTATAATTTAGCAGTTAGAGTTTGGTCAAAAAGAATTTTAAAAAACCAGTCAAGAATCTTCCTACCTGGTCAAAGAGAGTTTTGGTTAAAGAAAATTTCAAAGAATCAAAGTTCTCTTTGTACACATCCATCTGAGCAAAAAGAGTTCTGATCAAAGAAAATTTCACCAAAGTATTACTTGGTCAAAGAAAATTTCAAAATTCTATTAGATTGGTTAAATCAAAGTTTCAAAGAGCCAAGTAAAAGTGTGTTATATACCCATATCTGCATACAACTGTTATAACCAACCAATGTCTAGAGTTATGTTCATAGAATTAATTTCTATTCTAAAAAAAACCAACCATAGTATTGATCAAAAAAATTTCAAAATCTATACAAAATTCTATTAGATTGGTTAAATCATTGTTTTAAAGAGTCAAGTTATATGCTCCATACTCGTACACAACTATTATAACCAACTAATATCTAAAATCATATTCATAGAGTTAATTTCAATTCTAAAAAATTTATAAGAGTTTGGTTAAAAAAAACCAAAGATTTTTTAGTATGCATCTACCTGGTTAAAAAGAGTTTTAAAAAATTAAAGTTCTCTTTGTATTACATATCAAGAAGAGTTCTGGTCAAAAGAATTTCAAAAAACCAACTAAAGTATTATCTGACCAAAGAGAGTTTTGATCAAAATCTATCCAAAATTCTATTAGATTAATCAAGTCAAAGTTTCAAAGAGCCAAGTAAAGTGTTTATATGCCTCACATCTACATACAACTATCATAACCAACCAATGTCTAGAGTCACATCTATAGAATTAATTTATATTCTAAAAAAACCAATCTGGTCTAAGATAGTATTAATTAAAAAAATCTCAAAATCCATCTAAAATTCTACTAGTATGGTCAAATTAAAGTTTCAAAGAGCCAAGTAAAGTGTGTATTATGTGCCCCATACCCACACATAACTATTATGACCAACCAATATTTAGAGTCACGTCTATAGAGTTAATTTCTATTAAAATTCATAATTTGGTAGTTAGAGAGTTCTAGTCAAAAAGAATTTCAAAGAACCAATTCAAGATTTTTTATTATACACCTACTCAGTTAAAGAATCCAACTATTTAGTATAATCAGTAAAAGAAAAATAAGACTTTTATTATATATCTATTGGAGTTAAACCTTTAAAACCTTATAGTAGCATTACAAAAAAAAAAAGATTATTAACTATTATAGAGGCCCAACCTTCAAATATGATAAGTAAAAATAAAAATATGATTTTTGTTATATATTTATTGGATTTAAACATAATTAGATATTGTCTAAAAAAAAGAAATCATAATCTTAAATTATTTAAGTTTTGACACAGTACTTATAATTAATTATTATAGGGTCCAACCATCAGTAAAAAAGAAGTAAAAAAGAAAAATAGACTTTTATTATGTATTTATCAAATTTGAATTATTAAACCTTATAGTAACATAATTAAATATTGTCTTTATGAAAAGATTATTATCTCAAATTATTTAAATATTATAATGAAAGTCACGATAATCATAATTATCTTAGTCAAAGTTCAGTCGAATCAAAGTTTTTAAAGAGTATATATTATGTACTCTACACCCACACACAACTGTTGTGACCAACTATGTCTAGAGTTACATCTATAGAATCTATTAGTATAGTTGAATCAAAGTTTTAAAGAGCCAAGTAAAGTGTGTGTTATATACTCCACACCTGCACACAACTGTCATGACCAACCAATATCTAGATTCACGTCCATAGAGTTAATTTTTATTCTAAAAAATTCATAATTTGGTGGTCAGAAAGTTCTGATCAAAGAGAATTTCAAAGAACCAATTAAAAATCTTTTAATATACCAAAGAGAGT